AATTTAGGCGAGGGGTCCCAAATTTGTCTCAAGACACATTCTTAACAGCACAATCTGACTTAGAGATGTGAGATCATACTGTGGATTAGGCCCCTGATACTCACCTAAAGATGACCCCCGGCCTTATGTCCTACAGTGCAGAGGACAGTCCTCAGTTTGAAAGGATGTCCGAGGGCTTTTATAAGGCATCTTGTCTTTGATTGGCTGTTTTAAAGATAAAGAATGCTAAAGAGGAAAAGCATGAGGGAGCCTGCAAGTTGTCCATCAACACTGAGAGCCACATGAGCAGTGAGGCATACAGGTCAACTGGGCAAACTCTTGTTCCCCACTTTGGTGAGAGGTATTCCATCTCCTGCCAACCTAGCAGTTCGAAAGCACGTCAAAATGCAAGTAGATAAATAGGCACCGCTCCGGCGGTAAGGTAACGGCGTTTCCGTGCGCTGCTCTGGTTCGCCAGAAGCGGCTTAGTCATGGTGGCCACATGACCCGGAAGCTGTACACCAGCTCCCTTGGTCAATAAAGCGAGATGAGCACCGCAACCCCAGAGTCGGCCACAACTGGACCTAATGGTCAGGGGTCCCTTTACCTTTACCTTTATTGCATTTCTACTTAAATTTTGGTAATGGTCATTTCTAAATGTGTGCCTTTCCATAAGTTAGCACATACAATCGTTATGCACATCTATGCCCCATTTTGTTCTCTTTTCTGGGCAATGTGTAACCCCCACCCTCCAACCCACTGACCCTGCCTCCCCTCTGACAACATAGGGGAGTCTAGAGTATTCACTGATTGCTTCTCTTTGCCCTTGCCAGCTGTGTCACCTCCATGCCTGGACCACTGAGGATTCCCCTTTAGGTCAAGTTCCTCAAGGGTGACCATTATATTCCAATAATGGCCTGCAATTAATGACTTCCAACCCGCCCACATTATACAACCTCTTGTTGAGCCCCTTTCATTTATGCTCAGAGGAGGGAGGAGGGAAGAAAACTGAGAGATTTCAACCCAAAATAAACTCTGGCACTGGGTCTGGGTAGTAAAATAATGTGGAGGGAGCCCAGTTCTTCCCAGGCGTCTCTTTGCTCTGGCTTTAATAAATTGTTTCGATCAGCAGCTGTGGCTCCTTTAGGCTCAGGAGACTTCTAAGTCAGATCGGATTCTTTGATGTGGTTTGAAAGGATTCGTCTGCAAAATGCCTTGTTACCTAAAAACGTTAATTTTACGCAGCGCAGCAGGCTGATAGGGGAGGATTATTTTTCATTATATTGATTTAATGTGCAGCAAAGGGAGTGCTTGGTGTTTGCCAGCAACTGCAGCCGGAATTATCGCTGTGATATTTGCCCACATGTTGCAAGGGAGAAAGAAAACCAAAAACGTGTGGCCTTTGAAATGATTAGTTTCATGCCATGCGAAGCTGCTTCAAAATAGCCTTCTGGTAGGCTGTTGTTTTTCACGGAAATAGCTGTTGAAAAGGAAACTCCTAGCAAGGTGTATAAATGGCAAACACGGTCCAAATACATTTTTGAAAAGCTGGGGGTGGGGGGAGGCTAGGAAAGAGCAGGATCTAATGCGATGAAACCCAGAAGCAAAAAAAAATACTGGATTGAATCAGCTTCTGTTGCAAGCATTTAATAACCTAAAAATAGCCATGCAGGATCAGGCCAATGGCTCATCTAGTCCAGCATCCTCTTCTCATGGCAGCCAACTGGATGCCTGTGGGAAATCTGCAAGCAGAACCTAAACACAAGAGCACCCTCTTCTCCCATGTTGTTGTTGTTGTTTAGTCATTCAGTCATGTCCGACTCTTCGTGACCCCACACCAGAGCAATCCTGTCTTCCACTGCCTCCCGCAGTTTGGTCAAACTCATGCTGGTAGCTTCCAGAACACTGTCCAACCATCTCGTCCTCTGTCGTCCCTTTCTCCTTGTGCCCTCAATCTTTCCCAGCATCAGGGTCTTTTCCAGGGAGTCTTCTCTTCTCACGAGGTGGCCAAAGTATTGGAGCCTCAGCTCTAGGATCTGTCCTTCCAGTGATCACTCAGGGCTGATTTCCTTCAGAATGGATAGGTTTGATCTTTTTGCAGTCCATGGGACTCTCAAGAGTCTCCTCCAGCACCATAATTCAAAAGCATCAATTCTTCAGCGATCAGTCTTCTTTATGGTCCAGCTCTCACTTCCATACATCACTACTGGGAAAACCATAGCTTTAACTATACGGACCTTTGTCGGCAAAGTGATATCTCTGCTTTTTAAGATGCTGACTAGGTTTGTCATTGCTTTTCTCCCAAGAAGATAGTTTCCAGCAATTGAGCTTTTGGGGTTCACAGAGCTCTGTTGTGGGGTGAAATGAAGATATTCGAAGAACACACTGGCACTGAAATGTAGGTATGGAAGTTCCTAAAGGCCAATGGGCAGGGTAATGTGGAGTGGGTGGAAAATGTTCACCATTTGGGGCATATCATTAGGCGCATATCAATCATAACAGGGCTGTGTTGCATGGTGGGGGGCAGTGGCATAGCGTGGGTGCCCGTGCCCGGGGCCATGCAGAAGGGGATAGTAGGAAGGAGGGAAACAGATGGAGTACGTATGCACATCCAACTGCCTAGTGGCGTCCGCGTCACTCGGGAAAACTTTAGTGTAGGCACCAGTTGAGCCATTCTGGTGAGGGTGTTCCCCAGCCATCACGACCCGGCAGAAAAACACAGGTGACAAGTGACGTTTTGCCTAGCTAACTTCATTGCTCTGTGTTCAGGGCTGGCTCACCCATGAGGCAAGGCGAGGCGATCACCATAGGCGATAGGATCCACAGGGCTAGCAGATCCCAATGTAGATTTTTATTCCATCTTTGTTCCAGATGTACCGTACTTTTCCGTGTATAAGACGAGGTGTTTTTACTGAAAAATAATGTTAAAAAATGGGGGTCATCTTATACACAGATAGTGCATGGGGGGGACTGGTGACTGATTGCATCTGTGAGCTGCAGCTTGTCAGTGGTGATTTGGTGGCTGATTGGTGGCTGCGGCAAGGGCTGCTTTGGATTGGCTGCCACTGCGGCAATTGGGCGTGCAATTGCTGGCTGCTGTTGTCAAACAGGCAGACGCTTGTTGTCTTACATTGGCCTATATTGGCTCCCAGTACGTTTCCGAGCACAATTCAAAGGGATGGTGCTGACTTTAAAGCCCTAAACAGCCTTGGTCCAGTATACCTGAAGGAGCGTCTCCACCCCCATCATTCTGCCCAGACACTGAGGTCCAGTGCCGAGGGCCTTCTGGCGGTTCCCTCATTGCGAGAAGCCAAGTTACAGGGAACCAGGCAGAGGGCCTTCTTGGTAGTGGCACCCGCCCTGTGGAACGCCCTCCCACCAGATGTCAAAGAGAAGAACAACTACCAGACTTTTAGAAGACGTCTGAAGGCAGCCCTCTTTAGGGGAGCTTTTAATGTTTAACAGACTACTGTATTTTAATACTTTGTTGGAAGCCGCCCAGAGTGGCTGGGGAAACCTAGTCAGATGGGCGGGGTATAAATAATAAATTATTATTCTTATATTATTATTCTGCTGTGATGCAAGCGTTTGTCAGTTGGGTAAGTGATTTTCTGCACCCCACCCAAAAAGCTCAACAACTTTGGGCCATCTCCCCCCATTTTCTTAAATTTGAGTCCCCCCCCAAAATAGGGGGCGTCTTAGACATGGAAAAATATGGTAGTTCTCCACTCACTCCTACCTCCCTGGTGGGGAGTGTGGTGCAATTTTGTGGTTCACCTCATGTGCTAAAATGTCTTGGGCTGGCCCTGGCTGTATTTTAAATTTGCGGCTGATTTAATGCTTAGGGATAGCAACTTTGCAAGCATTTCCACTTCAGATGCCCCTGACTTATTGGCACAGATTATCAGTATGGCTGGACATTATTTTGTGTGTGGTTCTGGAAGAAGTTAGTGTGGTTTGAGTGTCAGACTAGGACCTCTGGGGAATGAAACCCACTGGGTGACCTCAGGACAGGCACTATCTCTCAGCTTAATCTACCTCACAGGAATAAAATGGAGAAGTGGGAAAGCATGTACATCACCACAAGATCTTTGGAGGAGAGGTGAGATATAAATGGAATTTAGGACTTAAGAAAGGGTGGGGCACAAATGTGAATATTACATTCATAGTTAAAAAGAGTGGAAACAAGAGGACACACCATATTGAGTGGGTCTTTCCCAGTGATTTTTGATGCCCTCTGGGAGACAAGTGTATCAAGGAGTGGTGGAACAAAAATCCACAATTTTTGAAATTCGCAATTTTGGCACTCAAATTTCAATTTCACCCTTCAAATTGGAATTCGGGAGCTTTACGCATGTTGGAATCTCTTTGGTGTTTTGGCAGGCATCAAGTATGAAACCATATCAGCTGTCAAGCAAAATACTATTACATGTCAAATATCAGCTGTCAAATAGAAAATATTGAATCATAGGATTTCAAACAGATACGTCTCAAATATTCGGCAGCAGCTCAAGTACTTGGAGGTGATCTGGAGAATGTTCTGCATCTGATATTGTAGTGCTAGGAAAGGCGCAGAAAAAGGCACTCCAAAATGATCAGGGGACTGGAACAACTCCTCATAGCCAGTGTGGTGTAGTGGTTAAGAGTGGTAGTCTTGTAATCTGGTGAACCGGGTTCACTTCCCTGCTCCTCCACATGCAGCTGCTGGGTGACCTTGGGCCAGTCACACTTCTTTGAAGTCTCTCAGCCCCACTCACCTCACAGAGTGTTTGTTGTGGGGGAGGAAGGGAAAGGAGAATGTTAGCCGCTTTGAGACTCCTTAAAGGGAGTGAAAGGCGGGATATCAAATCCAAACTCTTCCTCTTCTTCTTCTCATATTGTGGAAAGGTTACGTTTGGGACTATGTAGTTTGGAGAAAGGCAAATAACTGGGCTGCAGGGAATGATGGAAAGTTATAAGAGTATGTATGATGTTGATAAAATGGATAGGGAGAATCTCTCTCTCCTTTCCCCTCCGTACTGGGATTGCTCAGTCAGTAGAGCATGAGACTCTTAATCTCAGGGTTGTGGGTTTGAGACCCACATTGGCCAAAAGATTCGTACATTTCAGGGGGTTGGACTAGATGACCCCCGTGGTCCCTTCCAACTCTACAATTCTATAATTCTATGGATTCTGCTGCACTAAGATATAGCGATAGTTCCTGTCTGTGATGACTTTGAAAGGGGGCTGTCAAGAACCTAACAACCAGTGACTTCTGAGTTGCAGCCTAATCTAAGGTGGGTTGCATTACCACCATACAGATATATGGTTTCAAAGAATCAAGAGATGGTTCTCCATGTTTGGGTCTGAAAATGTTGAAAACGGCAACTCAAGCAACGGAAGAGCTCCCTACAGTTCATTTACACTCTTTCCCATACATACCACTTAGGAACATTTTTATGACATCCCACATACACCCCCCCCCCGCTGCCTGTTAACACCTGGATTTCCTAATTATTCTAAATGTAGAACTTAATTATCTGTTGAACATTTTCTGCACTGTTAAGATGTTAATTGTTCCAAAACCCTAGGAATAAAGAAACCTGGTGTATTTTATTATCCACCCCAGACTGCATTAAACAAAAATCCCACGCTAATGCGAATATTAAAATAAAGCTCTTTTGTTTGCCATTTCAAGGCACAACGATACCTTCGTAAGAACTCATATTTACTTTTGCTTTTTCTAAGAAGCATTTCAAACCATACCACATTAATTAATCATTTCTTGCAGATCTACTGCAAAGGAGGTGATTGATAATATCTCACAAAATGTGAAGGGAATTCAGTGGCCACTGTTCCTCCTAGTGCTGAGCTCTTATGCCTTTAGCATTGCCAACTGAATATACAGAAATTCAACAGGTGAAACTTTCCTCAGTACATCTACCTACAAGGAGAAGAAGCGTCAGCTACATGTCTGTGGTTGCATTCACACAGTTAATTCCATTTACTTGCCACTTCTCTGACTGTTAATTAGAACAATAGAACCATGGATTTGTAGGTTGTGACCCCCAAATGTCATCTAGTCCAATCCACTGCAATGCAGGAACCACAGTTAAAGAATGCCTGGCAGATGGCCATCCACTCTTTGCTTAAAAACCTCCATGGAAGGAGAGTCCGCCACCTTCTAAGGGAGTCCTTTCCACTGTCAAACAGCTCTTATCACCAGAAGATTCTCCCTAATGTTTAGTCAGAATCGTCTTTCTTGCCATTTGAATCCATTGATTTGGATCCAACCTCTGGGGCAGCAGAAAACAAGCGCACTCCATCTTCCATGTAATAGCCCTTCTTATATCTATATCATCATCATCATCATTATCATCACCATCATCATCATCAATTAAATGGCTCTCATATCACCTCTCAGTCTTCTCTTCTCCAGGGTAAACATACCTAACACCCTTGTGCCTCATAACAGCCACATTACACTTGAGCTTCCACATAATCTAAAAGCCATTTTTGAAAAACTAATGGAATATAGTCCATGTTTAGCACTCATTTCTGCACTATTTGATCCCAGGGGGAAAAAAATATCAATTTGCAGCCTACTTAACCCAGAAAATCATGGGACTAAAGCAGGCTTCCTCAGCCCTCCAGATGTTTTGAGACTACAATACCCATCATCCCTGACCACTGGTCCTGCTAGCTAGGGATCATGGGAGTTGTAGGGCAGAAACATCTGGAGGACCGAGGTTGAGGAAGCCTGGACTAAAGTGAAGGAATTTGGGGTGGTTCTTTCCTGCCGTTTTTTTTGGGGGGGGGGAGCTGATCATGCAAGAACGCTTGTGCAGAAAGGGTAAGGAAGAAATGAAATTGTCCAATGATGTCAATTGCTGTGTCACACCAGAACCACTGGTGTGAAAGAAATTTAGCATAACACATTGGCCAAAGAGTCACAGTTCCATAGCACAACAACCACAGCTGCGTGAAAATAACATGTGAAAAAGAGACAGAAGCACTGGCATTGTAATCAAGAAAATATAATATTCTCCATGTCTGGATGCACCTTATGCCATTAGGCTGCTGTCACAGAGCAAGACATTGCAGCAGGGCCTGGAAGAAAAGGTGGTTCTCCTAGATTAGTGTATCCCATACTTGGAGCTCCAGCTGTTTTTTGGACTACAAATCCCATCAACCCCTAGCTAGCTAGTCAGGGATGATGGGAATTGTTGTCTGAAAATAGCTGGAGACCCAAGTTTGGGAAACACTGTCCAAGATGGAAGCCTAGGTGAAATCTTATGTGTTTACTCAGAATCAAGCTCCTCTGAGTTTAATGGGACTTGCTTCCAGGTAAGCAAGTATAGGATTGCACCCTAAAACTGGTGTATAGCCACAGTAGTGTAGGCTTCTTGCAAATTTTAAAGTCTTATCTGATTTTTTTTTTAATCCTAGCGAAGTGAACTGAATGTTCACCTTCCATGAAAATGAGGTTAAAAACAACAAGTTCACCTCAACAATATTTATGCCCTTCGTCACAGGCTGCAATGCAAATTTTCTAATTTATTAGATCCAACTTGTGCAGTGGGAAAAGAGAAGTCCTGTTCCTGGATTTGAGCTACAAAGGAAATGGACTAGCCTGGATTTCTGAGGAGGGTCTGTTCCCAAAGCTGCACCTCCTTTTATCACATTATTACTTCAACCCTTAATTTCCACACAAAGGATTGCTCATGGCAGCTGCTGATTTTCGATGTCTGAGGAGGCCAACTACTCGTAACTCCTTGGTTTCATTCAGCAGCAGCAGAAGCAGCAGAAATTTCCCAAGGAAGAAGAGCAAAAGGTGGAATTAATTAACTTTATTTCTGCTCATGGCAAAGAAGTCAGTTACCTTGTCGCTTGAAATCATGCTCCAGTGACAGGAAGCAGAGCCAGCCCAAGACATCTTGGCACCTGAGGGAAACCACAAAATGGCTTCTCCCACCCTGCCAGGGAAGAAGTGGTGAGCGAATATTTACATTGGGAACAAAGGGGGAAATTAAATTAACTTTACCCGACAGTTGGAGTGGGAATCAAAGGCTGATGCAAGATGGAGGAGGGGATGGGCCCACTAGGAATCAGGTGCAGATCCCAGGAGACCCCAGAGGGCAGCCCCCACCATTTCTTCCCTAGGGATGGGAGGAGACAAGCAGAACCTCCTATTCACCAAAAGGCTGCTGTAGAGGCAGCAGATCTGGCTTCCAATGAATGAGCTACAGCAACTGGCAATGCATTTCTTGAAGGCCACATCTGCTGTCCCTGTGGATCCTGCCACCCGAGGCAGTCACCTCACCTTGCCTCATGGGTGGGCCAGCCCTTCACTCTGGTAGCTTTAACATCAAGGATGGGGACCATTTCTCAGCTTGAGGGCCACATTCCCTTATGAGTAACCTTCGAGGGGCTACTTGCCAGAGGTAAACAGGGCCAGAAGCAAAAGGTGGACTATCATATTCGTACTTCAGGCTAGTTTTTGCACAAACTCACACACCCCTCTCTCTATCCTACATCAAGGCAAATAAATGTCACCATCAGAGTTAGATGACAGATTCCAGCCAGGCAAAAACACTCAGCTGATGGTTCAAAGTAGCATACTGCACAACCATTCCATTTTAAGCGGGATATCCCCAATTGACAGAAGCCACCCTGGCTTCTAATCCCAATCACAGATGTCCCATTTTGGCTCCCATGCTCTGACTGCTCCAGAGCACAGGACTAAAAGACTGCTGACCATTTTCATCCTGCCCTGTGGCATGAGACGAGTACAGGCAGCCCTCAGAGTGAATCCTCCAGGGAGGGAAATATCCAAACCTGCTTGATTCATGGAGCTGAGTAAGGCATGCTTTGAGATTCAAGGTCTTCTCAAGCTGCCCTGTAACACCCACGCTTCATCTGGATCCATTTCCTCAGAATGATTGTGATTCAGACGGCGTTGTAGCTGACCACAAGGCCTCGTTCCCTGCCTGCAAGTGTAAGTTATCATATCATTACTCCATTGTGTGAAATTGCATTCAAATTGTGCATCACCTCCTGGAAAATTAGAGCTCCTTTCTGTCTTGCAAGGGCTAAAAATACTTTGCTGCTCACCTCCTCATACCCAGAGCACAGGAAAGCCAGCTGATGTCATCAAGTGCTTTCGTTATGTCTCCTTTGGTTGGGATCCTGATTCCAAAGGAACCTTTTCTAAGGTTCCATCTGCACAATACATTTAAAGCTGAACCAGCCATGTCTGCCCCAAAAGAATCCTGGGAACTGTAGTTTGCCAGGGGTGCTGAGAATGGTTAGGAGACCGCTATTCCATTCACAGAGCTACAATTCCCAGAGTTCCTTGGGAAAGGGACCATTAAACTACTTTGCATTCAAAAGCCAGCATGCTGGCTATTTGTCCCTCAAGGGCCAGTATTAACTACTCGTATGGGCAGCAACCCTCCAAGGTCTTTCCCAGCAACTGCTACCTGCTCCTTTCCATTGGTTCCTTCTTGCTGAAGATTGAATCTAGCACCTTCTGCATGCAAAGCATGTACTCTCTACCACTGAGATGTGCTCCTTCCCTCATCTGGAAGGAGGAGCTTCTTGGTAGTCCTTTTGGACAGCTGCTCTTCAAAATCCTCACTACAGCCCACCCCAAAGCATCTGCAGAGAAGTTTGAGGAGGTGAGCAGATATTCTAGATGATACATGGACCACCACTCCTCGTGGGGCAACGTGCATAACCACCTTCCACATTGACAAGACTTATGGGAAGAGTGGGCAGATGCAGAAGAGGACTAGACGCTTGCATCTTTCAGAATTGTGCAGATGGGGAAAGTTCAGCAGGGGTCTGATGATGATGATAAGCTACACCTGCTGAAACGTTCTCTTCCGCAACACAACTAAAGACTCAGAAGCCTGTCTTCTTTTTCATCTGGCCATTGGGATGGAAACAAAACTTGCTCATTCTGCAGTGACCTGACCTGATTCTCTGCAGATCAGAGCAGAGTTACCCATAACACTTCTTGGAACTTTGCAACACAGCTTTGGTTCATGAAAACGAGTGTTTTACAGGAAAAATATGTGCACAAAACCACATATTTTAGGAGGAAAGC